ATTATGAATAATAAAATAATCATGTGCAATTTGAATGTTACACATCACCTTTGGGCAGAAGTGAAACATTTAAATTTTAATGCACATATATATTTAGTTCGCAGTACACAATTATAACACATCATCTTTGGACAGAAGTGAAATATTATGTATTTAAGGCGAGTGTCATGCAAACATCCATTTAAGGATATGCACTAAGTGACTATGCTTAATAAGACTTGAAATAAATTTTACAAATGTTACACATCACCTTTGGGCAGAAGTGTATTCTAAGGCATTATTCAAGTCAAGCAAAATAAATCAATTTAACTAATCATAAAATAAATTTTATTTAAATTAGTCAAATGATTTATAAATTCAATGTTAGTAATTAATTAACCGCAAAAATTAAAGCGGTTGAGGCGGGGCCCATTTAATCAGAAAATCAAAAGGCATATAAGGCAAGAGATTTTCCAACAAGTAAAATAAAATTAATTTTTTTTATGGTATTTTAGCACATCCCTTAATTAGTTTTGCTTTTCTTGATAAAATATATTAATAAATAAGGAAATAGAATATATCATGCAAAAACGAGATATGCCATACAATTTAAGAAAACAAAATTATGTTTCAAATCAAATACCAAAATAGGAGGATTTCATCAAAATAAGGATGATTTCCATAAACATATTATCAAATTTATACTTATTGGGCTGAGATTGAATCAAAATAAAACGATAACTTCCGATCCAAACTTTGATAAAAAACCCCTTTTTTTAATTTTTTTTTATTACTGGAATTGAATCAAACACGGTAATCTCAATGATTAATTTTCAAATTTGATCCCAAATTTAGGAGATGGAGAGATTAAAGTGTATGATGACTTTTAGCACAAGCTATAACTACTGCACGATGGTTTGGAAACTCTATAATGGCAGAAACGTGATAATCCAGATCGGAAAAAAAACAAGTATTTCAAAAAAAAATTCACAGTTTATAATTTCCGATTACAGTTCAGAAAAAATAAGGAATTGATTTATCAACATAACGCTCCGATACCACATGTTGATCAATTCTTAAACATAAAGTATAATTTAGGGATTTAATCATGTGTACCTGATAATCCTGTAAACGTAGTTAGGGATGAAGCCATGATTCTCACGCAGATCGAGTTCCCGTTTAGGGTGTATCGTTATGATGGCTAAGGTGAGGATGAGACTCACGAGAATAGAGAGGCAGAGAGAAGGCGTAAGATTGGTGTGTTGATCTCTGCCTAATGACCTCTATTTATACACCTAAGGGGAAACCCTAATTAGGTCATAAGGGTAATTACGTCCATCGAATAATTACCAAATAAATACGTAGGGTATTTATTAGGTCAATGATCAATTAATTAGATAAATGATAACTCAGGCTACATAATAAAATCGTGTCCAACAGATTCTCCTTAAAATATTTCATTTAAAATTTCAAAAATAGAATACAATAGATAATTAAAAAAAAAGGAGGTGGGGTGGGGGGAGGAGGGGATAAGCCAACGCCAGAGGGTCCTTTAGGGTCATTTACAGGGTGGACTTGGGCATGCTTTCTTCACACAGATCGCCCCAACCTCTTTCTCCTATTCTCTTGTGCACCATGAAGCACGCTTATCTTCTACCGCATTAACAGTAAGCTCCAGGAGCTACTTCATGTAGTTTCAAACCCTCCACTTGGATTATGGCTGTAGATGCATGTTTCACACACAACATTAGAAGTGTACGTACCAATTAAGTATTTTATTAGACATTATTGAATTTGTTTCGTACAAACAAAGAGCGCGGCCGGCCGGGCTTACCAACAAGCTCGACATCTGTGTTGGCAGCCAGATATTGAGTCACCGTGAAGCCGGTGTAGCTCGAATCAAACTCTCCTTTGGCCATCAACTTCTTGTCCGTGTTCAGTGTTTTGAACACGACTCGGTTCACTCCCCTCGGGATAGCCAGCCCCTTCATCCGGGTGGTGATGTTTTTGTTGAGGGGAGTTTCAACAACGAGGCAAGGACCTGCAGAACCCGCATACACATACATACACATTATTTATTAGTCCGTATGTATATATGTTAGATCGTACGTGGTTTGAAGTAAGTACAGAGTAATATATAGTAAGTGGTCAAACCAAGTAATCGTACCCATCGCGGTCTCTAGACTGAGGGTGTCGATGTCCAGAGCGTGGATGTTGAGTGAGGCTATTAGGGTGGCGGAGGCCGCCGCCAACTCCTCCTCATCTACCTCATACGGCGGCGGCAGGTGCCTCACCGCCACCAACACGACCACCGTTAATGCGGCTAGAAGATAAGTGTGCTTCACGGTGCAGGCCGAGAAGACAGACAGACCGTGGGAGATGAGGAGGAAGAAAGGGGAGGGAGAAGAGACAAACAAGAGAATAGGAGAAAGAGGTTGGGCGATCTGTATGAAGAAAGCATGCCCATGCCCAAGTCCACCCTTTAAATATCCGCAGAGTATCGAGGATAGTGACTAGTGAGATAGACCGGGTGCCAAAAAAAGGACAAGGGACTGAGAGTTTTGTAAAACATAATGACTTTCCTAATATATGACCATATGTTTTTATTTCCTAAAGTAGGAGTTTTGGTCATTATCAAGTAGTCATTATTCAAGTAAATGTCCATCATTACTGGACATTATTCCTCCCACTAGGTCATTATTAAGTCCTATTTAGAGAATAAAAAAGTTTAAATCCTATATTAGGAAAGTCATTATGTTTAGTCCTATTTAGTGCAAATTTTACTTTTGTTTTACCATTTGTATATTTCACAAATAACTAGATTTTTTTTAAAGGAAAGTTGATTTATATTAAATATTACTCCGTAATTCATAGAATTAATAAGTATAGCATCACAAATACCAGCTCGAGGGACATACCGCATACGCCAACTATCACGGGGCAACCTGATTCGTTGATCGCCTAATAATACACGACCATGACAAAGAAGAAAAATTTGTCATCAAAAGCATACAATTCTGAATCACCTCCAAGAATTAAGAAAATGAACCTCATTCCACCGTAGAGTCTGATAGACTGTCAAATTGTTTATCTCAATAATATTTTGTTGTTGACTCGTAATCCAAAGGCGTCTTTGAGCCTTTTGAGTGCCTCTCGAGTTCCTATTGCCTCCACCATGAGAGGGTTTTCCAGTTTTTCCAAACCTTTTTGAAGCTCCGCACACAAATCCTCCCATACCATCTCGCACCACCATTCCTACGCATGCTTCCTTCGTTAGCATCAACATTACATTTAACTATTCCTTCTTCCGTGTTTTAGTTTAACGCTTGCCAACCTTGTGAAAAAGAAAGAAAAAAAACTGTGCGGAAAAGAATGAAAAAACAAACGAGGAAGGGGTTTGAACCTTGGTATTGGGGTGGGGGCAGGGGAGATCCACACCACTAAACCAAATGCTTAACAAATTACTTTGAGATAATTTAATCTTTTTTTATATATTAATAATTTTACAAACCTAATATCTATAGTGACCTACACCAGGGTCTGTGGGGTCGTAGGACTCCACACAACTCAAGGTGGGTCTGCATCTGGTTGTGATACAGGAATTTGTTTTATATTCTAACACAAAACTCATATGCAAGTATAATCTTTTTGAGTCTTAAACATAGCTTTCAGAACTGGCCTGGACGGGGGACCGAACCGTTCATGATACTGGTTCACTAGTCGGACCGGTGGTTCAAGTGGTCAAACCAGTGGTTTACGCATATTCGAACCAGTGGTTCACGAATATTTGAAAATATGAACCACGCATATATATATATATATATATATATATATATATATATATATATATATGAAAAATAATATTTATTGAAACAATACTTCCCTTTGAAATAAATGGGTATTTAAAAAAATAAAAAAAACTATAAAATAAGAGGTGAAATTTTTTGATTTATAATTTACACAATTTTTAAAAAAATACTCCCTCCGTCTCACAAAAAAGTTCCCATTTTGATGTATTTTTGGTCAAAAAGTTACACGCTTTGACCATAAATTAAATATAATCTAAATAAAGAAATGCTAAAAAAATTTGAGATATCAAAACTAGATCCTAAGATGAATCCAATTATATTAAATTTATTTTATAATTCAATATACCTTTCTCACAATTTGTAGTCAAAGCGTGTAAATATTTGACTAAATACTATTCAAAATGAGAACTTTTTTGTGGGACAGTGGGAGTATTTAATTAAGTTAATAGTTTTGTGATATGAAGTTCATATTAGAATCAATTGCATCAATATTTTAGAGTTTGAAGAATCACAGTTTCAGCATTATATTTTCAAAATTTTTAAAAATAAAAAAAAGTCTTTTTAGAATATGTATAATTGTATATTTTTAAGAATGTAATATATAACTGATAATGTCTTTATGTAACAAAAGAGATTGTTGTATGGATGGTGGATAGCTTAACAAGAGAACAAGTTGGTCATGTGTTCAAAACCCCAAGAGTAAATATATTTAGTACATTTGTGCAAAAAAAGGAAAAAAAGGTCACCAATTAAACCGGCCATTTCTTATCCTTCGGGCTGGTCCGATGCACATGGCGGTCTTTGGGGCTGGACCTGACTATTCCTTAAGTTCGGTCGGGTTTTTAAAACTATGGTCTTAAACGTGGAACTTTAATTATTACTTTGAGTGATACAGAGTTTTGAACCTGTATTTGCTACTCCCTCCGTTGGAATAAAACTGGTCCGATCGTTACTCTAATTGGTTTAGAATTTTTTTTGGAGAGGCATTCCAATCCAATTTCAGTCATAATTCAAAATTTAGAATTTGTCCACCTTTTTTTTTATTACCTTTTCACGTTTGGATTTACCCATCCACTGAAACCACTTTTTTTCAGGTACCCATCCATTCATGTTTTCTTCTCAAAATGGTTCACTTACTCCGCCCCATCCTTTCCCGCTTCCCCTTTGTGTTGGAACCATTTGTATGAAACGTAAAGAGGCGACTTTTAATTGCATGTGTACTCCGCTCCATCCTTCCCCACGATCGCACCCATTGCCATCGGTTTCATTGTGGGGGCATTCCCTTTCTTCTACACAAATAGACTAATCTTCATTTCTTAATTAATGAAGTTGTGCTTGGAAGTGAATAAAGTGAGTGATAAAAGAATAATATTCCCAAAAACTATGAGAACTAGGAAAAAGAGAGTCGATCTGGAGAATCAGGAAACAGACATTATTCATTCATGTGTATTTTTGCAGTTTTATGCAAATTAAAGTGTAAGCAAGTTTATGGATAAAGCATATATAATAACACACAAACTAGCTATCTAGAGAGCTGATGAAGAACACAGTTAAGAAAGATCTCTGAGGAGCCAAAGGCCAAAGAGTTATATTAAACCTTTAGTATCATAACATGCCAAGTTCAGATGAGTTTATCTATTGTTGTTTCGCGGATAGAGACGCGCCCGGAGAGCCGCCATTGATGCACTTCCATTCAAAGTTTGCACTTCCATATAATAAAACTTTGCATTGGCACGCTAATTACTCATACCAAAGAGAATGCAACATTTTGAAATTTCTATAAGCATGCACCTAATGTGTAACACACTCAAAAAGATATGTGAAATTTGGCCCAAACCTCTCTACTCATGGATATCGGGTTTAGCAGATTAGGAAGATTAGCCCAAAATTTCATCTAGGACAAAAATATGGTTTGGGCTCAATAAAATAGAATGACAAGCCCGGGTACGGATTCGACCAATAGAAGCTTGATTTATAAAACTGGACCTAGGCCTGGATTATTTAAACAGTGTGGCAGCCCACCCCATGGGATATTTGATGAATGATGATCCTCGGCCCACAATTGACACATGTTTGTTCAATCACGATGAGAAAATAAGGCATGATTACATGCCATGAGTTGTAACAAAAAATATTAAAGATAGGGGTCTAGAGTAAAAATGATTAGTTCTCTTCTAATTTAGTAAAGGAAATACTACTTTTATCCCTAAATATTTATCTAATTTTGTTTTTTGCAGTCAATCTTCGTCAAGTTTGGTAAAGGAAATACTAATTTAGTAAACATCCTTGCCACCTATCACTGCCACCTTCTTTTTTTATGTTGATTTGTTTGACCTGTTTAGTTCGTCAAATAATCGATCTAAGTTCGTAGGTTTGTTCTAGCATTAGAATTCATAGATAGCAATAATTCATGTACATGGTCAATTGTAGGACTAAATTATAAGTATAAAATTTGTTTGTGATCGCTTAATTGTGATTTGTTTAAGTTAATTGGTGGGTTGATGATGAAGAGACCATGTATAGTTGGGTGCATGTTAAATATATTTAGTATATATTTAATATATATTGTAAATGATGGTTACCTTATGTATAGGGTTTCCTTATTATTATCCCTACCATAGTTGGGATTCCTATTGTATATGTATATGGGGCTTGGACCTCGTTGTTCAATATAGAAACAACAATTCTACACTTGCTTATTTTTTTAGTTAGATGTAACTTATGAGTGAAATTATAAGATAAGAGAAATCCGTAATCAGAGTGTTTAAAAGTTAAAAATAAATTTTATAAGCAAGGTTTACCGGTTTATACGCATAGAAAAATACATACTCATTATTTATTTAAATTATTACTCCCTCCATCCCTAAATAAACTTCCGTTTTTGACTTTTTGGGAAATTAAGGAAGGAATATTTTGGTGTTGACTTTCCAAAAATACCCTTGATATGATGTGTAAAAGTAAGATGTGATATGTAGATTATTAGTAAAAAGGTATGATGTGATAGGTAGGATATGAAAAAAAAAGGGTAAAAGGAGTTTTTTAAGAGAAAAGAGAAGTTTATTTGGGGACAAAGAAAAAACGAAAGAGGAAGTTTATTTAGAGACGGATGAAGTATTTATTATTATGAAGGAAAAAAAAGATGAAAGTAGTAGTAAAATATTTAAAATGTATAAAAATAAGAATTTTATATTTTTATTCTCGAAATATGAGTTAAATTTATAAACAATAATGTCAATCATGATCATACACATTATCCAATAGATTTTAAAATATTCATTAGAGTGTCATATTAAATACTCCGTAAGTGTGAACCCGTATTTTATTAATAAAAACATGAAAAATCTTATTTTGGTATTTTTTCTATGTTTCACTCATATTCTAGGTGATTTCTTTCATTTTCATCCTACATTGCATGGGTAAAATCGAGTTGTTTACAAAATGGAAACTGAAACTTTTTTTTGATAGCGAACGGAAAAGGAAATGTAGAACATCTTTATGTGATGAGTATAATTCAACATATACGAAGTAAAAGAGTTGTACATTTTGTACTCCACTACTCCCTTCGTTCTACAAAAGTGTTCCTATTTTGACTTTGTGTAAAAATAAGGAAGAGTTAAATTGTAGTTGACTTCTAATTTTAGCTTGGGAATAATGAATAATGCATAATGACTAAAAGTGTTACATTGGGAAGAAAAACACATGTGGTGCTAATTAGGAAAAGTTATTATGTTTTAGTGCTATTTAAATAAATTCATCTATATAAATCCTTGGAAATTCACACGTCTCACACCCCCACAATCCAAACCAGCTCTCCATCCTTTTCTCTCTCTCTATATCTCTTTCTCCTCTCTCTCCGGCTGCATAATGAAGCTTTCATACAAGAAAATGATAAAGTCACAAATATATAGTTCACAAACTTCATAAACTTGTCTTTTGTGAATTTTAAATTAAAATACTCCGTATCTTTTATAAATTGAGTGCATCTTATTTCTAGGAAAGTATTAAAAAGGCAAGTTTGTGAATTTTATGAACTGTTTGTTTGTGACTCTAACATTACTCTTTCATATATATCCTCGGGGTGGTGGCGGCAGTTGCAGTGACGGTGCTGGTGGCGGCGGCGGTGAGGCCGGCCACCCGGAAAGGCCCCAAGGAGGCAGAGTCGTCGCCGGCCCACCCCGGCACCCCAACTGACATGAGTGACATCTCCCACAGCTATGTGGTGGGATTGCTGACCTTTGACACCCCACATGGCCTTCACCTTTGAAAATAATTGACTACTAAAAGTCAAAATTAGAAATATATTTAGGTACGGAGACATCAAGTTATCTCTCCCTATTTTCTAATTTCTACCATTTGTAATACAGCAGCAGTGTAATACTCCATCCGTCCCAAAAAGATTCACACATTTCAAAAAAAATGTGTCCCACAATCCCCTACCCATTTCAATTAAAAAACTACTTTTACCACTTACTTTTTCAAACCCTACTTATCACATCATACCTTTTTCTTAATAATCTATCTACACATTACATCCTACTTTTTACCTATCACATCAAGGGTATTTTTGGAAAGTCAATACAAAATTATCTCTCCCTTAATTTCAATTTTAGTCAAAATGGGTAGCACGACACATAATAACCTCTTTAAGAACAAGATTAAATGTACTACTCCTAGGTGTCAGACTGTCAGGGCGTGTAGGATAGCGTTTTACACTTTCACCCAATAGTGGAAAAAAGGAGAAAGTATGGGCACATACCCTTTGATCTTTGCATCCTATAAAATATTTTTATCCCACTTAAAATGTCTAAAATATCTCTAAAACAACTTCTACTCGCAATAAACTACATAGTGGGATACATTTTAGATATTTTAAGTGAGAGTAAAAGAATTTAATGATATGCGCAAAAAATCAAAGCAGAAGAGTTTTAAAAAACGGAAGACTGCGTAAGTACGTAACCCATTAAAGTTGCAACAATCTAACATGTGGTTTGTGGGAGACATTTAATGGAAAACTTAATACTCCATAGAAGTTGCGTAATTGACAAATTAAAGTAGGGAGTACTTAATTATGGAGTAGATCATATCACAATGAAGTGGGTTTAAATAACTCCATAGTGCATGCACTGTACGTGTCCATCGTCACAGAGCCTTACTTGTCCAATCGATCTTTTCTTCTTCTTCGCCTTCTCCATTGCTTTGTCGTCCAATCTCTCTTCTTGGCCTTACCAAGATGAAGCTTGCTTGCGTTATTATGGCAACAGTGGCTCTGGCAGCGGCGGTGGTGGCGGCTCTGGCGGCCGCACCACCGCGCTTCATTGACATCACCACCCGTGATGTGGACGGAATTGCGATGTACGGCAGCCCCCACGGCCTACGGAACTTCACCCACAAAATATCGAGCATCAGGGACGGGGCTCCGGCCAATGTGGCCAACTTCACCCTCACCACCCACACCGGCACCCACGTCGATGCCCCGGGGCACTTCAACCAAACTCTCTTGGATGAAGGCCTCGATGTCGACTCTCTCGACCTCGAGACCTTAAACTGTATGTTTCAATGTTAATTTTTTGTTATTAATAAGTACTCCCTCCGTCCCAAAAAGAATGAGACGGTTTGAATTTTTGGGAAATTAAGGAAGAGATATTTTGGTATTGACTTTTCAAAAATATCCTTGATGTAATGGGTAAAAGTAGGATGTGATGAGTAGATTATTAGGAAAAATGTATGATGTGATAGGTAGGGTATGAAAAAGTAAGGGGTAAAAGTGGTTTTATAATAGAAATGTAACGAACTTTACGAGACGCAGTTTTTTCTAAACGTAACAAATTTTTTGGAACGGAGGGAGTACGTTATACGGGCAGACTTCTGTCAAGGAACCAATTCAACCAAATGATTGTGGCCCAGTAAGAGTTATTTATATTCTAACAATTTATGAATTCTTACGTTCTTGTAGGTCCTTGCTTGGTTGTTGATACTCCCCGCGACAAGAACATCACTGGTATTATCTATCTTTCATTATTTATTGATTTGTTTTTTGGAACTGATCGAATATTACTAATTTAGTTTCACAACATGCTCATGCAGTTGAGGTGATGAGGGGGTTGAACCTACTCCGGGGAACGGAGCGGGTGCTGCTGAAGACGCTCAACACGGACAAGAAATTAATGAACCAATCGGAGTTTGACTGGAGCTACACCGCCATGACGGCGGATGGAGCTCAGTATTTGGTGTCCAACACGGACATCAAACTCATTGGTATGTTTAAACTTTAATTAATTAATTTCCTCTCTATTTTATTTACTACATTATTTTAGTAATAACTTAATTAATTGTGTTATATATTTGTGAATGAATTCTCAGGAATTGATTACTTGTCCATCGGTGTTGCTGACCAGGTGGTGCCTGTTCACCTGACCTTGTTGAACGCCAAGGTAGTTTATAACACACACTTCAAACTCTATATTTATTACGTGAAAATATACATTGTCTAGACTAATATAGTACTCCCTCCGTCCATGTATGATCTTCCCATTACGCGTTACGAGGCTTGACCGACTTTATTTTCAATTCAATTTAATTGATTATAGGAGTAAAATTTTAAAATAAAATTTATATAGTAATAAACTACATGAAAAGTTTTACAAAACTAGAGGTGACAAAACTATATTATTTTATGAAATGACTAGTAAAATTGAGCAAACAAAGTGAGTAAAGTTTGACCATGTGAATAGTATCTGGGAAGATCTATGGTGGACAGAGGGAGTAATTAACTTTAATTTTTTTGCAGGTCATAATCCCAGTGGAGGGATTGAACCTGGACGGCGTGGCACCGGGAGCCTACACCGTGCACTGCTTCCCGCTGAGGTTGGTGGGCTTGGACGGGTCGCCGGCCAGGTGCGTCCTCGAGACAAGCGGCGTATCAACCCCCACCAAGGCGGCGGCGGCACCTTTGCTCTTTTTTTTACTTCTTGTACTATTTGTATTTTTCTTCTAATTTCCTTTTTTATGTAATAAAAGTGTTCTTTTTTTTTGAAAAGTTTGCCTCTCTGATTTCCGATATATTCCGTAGAAAAATCATTACGGCTTAAACATTTGGAGAAATAAAGGACAGTTAAAGCATGGGCAAAAAGCATATCCAAAATAATACGGAGTACTCCGTACTCCGTAAAAGATGTCTGAAAATTTTGACTTTAAAGTCAATTATACTTTCGAATTGCAATAGACGTAGGTGGGGGGAGTAGTTTGGCGACACTTGGCGGGGGGTTTACCGGGGAATTAGTGAGAGTAGGAATCATCAATTTCATGAACGGAGTTCCGTAGGGAGGCAGTGGCTTCCGTAGTCATTATATGGAACCGGCCTCATGTCATATACGTCCTCAATATGAGATCACAAGAATAATGCAGGGAAAGATACTATTACTCAAAAACTTTAATTACATTAATCTTCTGCATGAGCTGCTCTATTTTTCTTAATACCATCTTCAATTTGCTCTATTGTCAACTTCTCTGTTGCATATATTTCTATATTCATGAAATATATTCAAATACTCCCTCCGTCCCAAAAAGATTCACACCTTTCAAAAAAATTGCGTCCCACAATCTCCTACTCATTTCTATTAAAAAATTACTTTTATCCCTTACTTTTTCAAACCCTATCTATCACATTATACCTTTTTCTTAATAATCTACACATCACATCTTACTTTTACCCATCACATCAAGGGTATTTTTGGAAAGTCAACACAAAATTATCCCTCCCTTAGTTTCAACTTTAGTCAAAACGTGTAAATCTTTTTGGGACGGTGGTAGTATATTTTATAATGATGGATCAATAGCTTGTATCATTAAAGTGTCGTTTCTTGGGAATTTGTTAGAATATACGGAGTAAGAAACATTTCTTGAGGCACAACAACAAGCTTAAGTTTTTGGTTGAGTTGGTTCATTTACATGGTATCGGAGCTTGTTGACTAAGAGGTCACATATTCAAAATTCAGCGCCACCCATCTTAAAAAAATTAAGGTTTCACGTGCACAGCTCGAAAAAGACTTTGCTTGCACGTGAGAGGGCGTGTTAGAATGTAAGAAACATTTCTAACACAGTGAATTTTACATTGTTGTCACAAATGGAAAAAACCCAAACCTTGGCCATGACTAATAAAGGATCTAACTAAAAGAGCCTTTATATATATTCCTATGACATTATATTGTGAATCAATGTCATTGGATAACCCGGGGTGTTTCGGTGCCCTGTTCGTAAAATTGACGATTCATATCTTCCCGATGAACCTTCCACTCCGCCCCAACTCTGGATTCTGGATGGTACTGGAGCTTATTTGAGATTAATCTCGCAAAACCCTAGGCTATTTCCATTCGTTAATTATTTGATAAAATAATATTCCCTCCGTTCCATAAAACCCTCCCCTTTCGTTTTTTTTCCAATTCCCTAAAATGCTTCCACTTTATATTAAAAAACCACTTTTACCCTTATTTTTTCATACCCTACCTATCACATCATACTTTTTCACTAATAACCAAACTATCACATCTTACTTTTACCCATCACATCAGGGGCAAAATTGGAAAGTCAACCAAAATTATACTTTTCTTATTTTGGTCTAAAGTCAAAATAGGAAGCGTTTAAAGGGACGGAGGAGGTATAATCTTGTCACCTCTTTTTTGTAGAACTTTTGATGTAGTTTTTAAATATATAAATTTTATTTTTAAATTCTACACCCACAATCAAATAAGTTGAGTTAAAAATAAAGGCTGTCAAAACTCGTAAACAGAAATGGAAATAAAGTTTTAGGACGAAGGGAGTAACATTTTTATTTAATTTGAGGTTAAACTTACTTATTTTGATCGAAAAAAAAGTAAATATTGGACAAATAGTAAAAAAGAGAAGTACTTTCCAAAGCTAAGAGGTAAAGCCCATTGATGACATACACCATTGAGGAAATAGCATACCATATTTAAGATAAATCAAGTTTTGTTGACATTGGTAAGACATTGCTAAACAATGTCATGGGATGATCCAATGGTCGTCTGATGCTCCTATCGTAAAATTGATTATTTTTATCCTTTTTAAACATCGATAAACCTCCACCCTATCCCGAACTCATTGTTTCACCCCCTTCAATTGCATTCCTGAAATTTAATTAATTTTGAAGTTAACATTTTGACTCCTAAGTCAATTAAACTTGAATGATTTAACCAAAGAGGGTGGGGCGGTAGGTTTGTGTTAGACAATAATACTAATATTACTTCTGGTAGTATTGGTTATGGTAGTGTTTGATTGTTAGTCAGTTTCTTATTCCTATTTGTTGTAGATGTATTTTAGTTAGTCTTCATTCTCAATTCCTACTTGTGTTAGGAGTCTCTTCTATATGTACTCTATCATGTACGGAGTATTTCATAATTCAAGGAGCAATATTATTATTCCAATATTTTTAAATGGTATCCGAGCCACCGCTCTTGGTGACCTAAAAGAGTTCTTTGCTTCCACTACCGCCGCCGGTAATTCTAGCGACGGCGGCACCACTTTATTCACCTCTATTTTCTTTTCCATCGTTTATCTCCAAATTAACTTCTCCATTAAAAAATTCTTGTGTTGAAAAAAAACCATCAAAGGAGAAACTTCTTTTTTGTGTCATCTCCATGGTTCTTCAAAAAAAACCCAACTCCTCACAAACTCTCTCAACTCATCCAATCTTCTCAAAAAAAGAAAAAAAACTATTGTTGTTTCTCTCCAATTCACTATATAAAAATTTCAGACCCAAATCTTTTTTATCACAAATTCTTAACCCATTTTTTTCTCTCAAACCACTCATTCTAATCATCAACCTCCCTTCTCTTTCTCTTCTGTTGGACCGATAAAAATCCAAAGTAAATCAGCACAAAAGCAAAGTCAAGAGTAGGGGTGCATACAAATCAAATAAAATGTATTCGATTCGTGATTCGTATTCGAAAAAGATGATTCGTATTCGCTATATTCGAATTCGAATCCGAATACAAATCATATTTTAGATTCGAATTATTTTCGAATCTGAGGGGAATGTTAGACAATAATACTTATTTTACTTCTGGTAGTATTGGTTATGGTAGTGTTTGATTATTAGTGAGTTCCTTATTCCTATTTGTTGTAGATGTTGTATTTTAGTTAGTTTTCATTCTCTATTCCTACTTGTGTTAGGAGTCTCTTCTATATGTACTCTATCATGTACAGAGTACTTCATAATTCAAGGAGCAATATTATTATTCCAATATTTCAACAGTTTGGGGTGTGATAGAATAGGAAGGTTTATCGGAGGAGTTAGGAATGTTCGGCACTGCTAATTTTACGAAAGGAGCATGGAACAGCTCTCAGATCATCGGAACCGCCCCATTAAAGATTACAATTCATAACGTATGGAGCACATTATTGAACGCAAATGAATGTTTGTTTAAGGGGTGTCTGACCCACGGCATTAGCACTCGGAACCAAGGGAGTTGACATTGATCTAAACTGCCGCATTTGTGGTGCACCAGAGGAGTCATTAGATCATGTTTTTCTACTTTGTCCTTTTGCTCTAAAAATTTGGAGGCTCCTTGGCAGCAATATAGCTACAGGTTTGCATAATAATTTTACTGCCTGCTTATTGTTTGCTTTCAGCTCGATGTCAACTTCTGATTTGGCAGTGTTGGCTGCGGGCATATGGACAATCTGGAAGGCCCGAAATCATGCTTGCTGGGAATTAAAGGTAGTAAAACCTGAGATCGTGGCGGAATGGGCATGTGAAGTACGCATGGCCAGGGCAGGTGGTATGTTGCATGGTGACACGGTGTCGATGCCAACGCACCAGAGGCCACATCAGATGAGTCGGCCGGAAATAACACACTGCTTCGTTGATGCTGCCGTGTTTGACCAAGATAATTCTACATCGGTGGCGGCCGCTCTGCTTGATGGCACTGGCAGGTTCGTTGGGGGCTTCTACAAATTGGTTTTATGTCCCTTGGTGCCGAGATACGTGGAAACGATGGCTATTAAGGAGGCGCTCTCATGGCTCAAGGAGAAGAATATCCAAGAAGTCTTGATTTTTTCAGATTGTGCTCAAGCGGTTCAGGCCTTGAGGAATNGCCATGAATGGTGGAATGATCCCCCGCATGATGTACTGCATTATCTTTAATTAATGGAAAGTTTGGGTTTCAAAAAAAAAAAAAAAAAATTAGGGGTGGCCGAAACCGGCCGGTCCGGTACCGGAACCGGTACCGCCCGGTCCGGTCAGAGTACTGGTACCAGATCAAATTAAAAACTTATTTCGATTAGATCAGACTCAATCAGATCAAATCAACCGTACATGGCCTTAGTCTATAAATGGTGATGATTTCCGCCAGCTATTGTCAAGGGTAAAAAGACCATATTCTTAGGTGAAAGAGGTGATGATTTTGCTCTAGCGAGGGGAAATGCTGATCAAAGACTATATTGAAGAATTATAAGGATTTTAAATGATAAAAGTTAAGAATTGTTAGATGAGAGTTCCTACATCGGAGAATAAAAAAGAATACGAGTAGCATATATAGAAGGGTAGAACCCAATCTATCAACGTTGGCTAAGGGACCCCACAGACTTTGTTGAGGATGGATTGGAAAGCCGTTTGATATTCCATATAACTAAAGCAGTCTGTGTAAGTTTAGACAAGAGGTCCACATATATAGTTTTCATAATAGTGGGGATCAAAGCAGTGTTGTACGGCTTGTAAAAATGCGTCCCAAGAGGCCCCAAAGTCATTTGCCAGATAGTAGTGGAACCATTCGGATGCCGGGTGGTCGATCAACATGGCGACGAGGTGTAAACGTTCAGGTTCAAGTGTTAGGAAATAATCAAAATATTTTTAGATTCGAAAATCCAACCGGTGGGATCTTCGGCCAAAAACCGAGGGGCATCCACCTGCATGCCAGGGACAGGTTCCTCTGTGGAAGCCGACGTGTAGGGAGGGCGATGCTGATGGCAACTTCAATGGCGCAGGGTAAACTTCCGGAGTAGTAGGAGTATGAGGTCGAAGCAAGCAACTAAAGAAAAGCCTTTTACCAAACATTCATTTTCACTGTTTAATTGGTCCAAACACCAAAGTTAAAGAAGCAAAATTCAGTCTAGTCTATATAATCTCGTAGTGCCTAACCATATTATTTGCATGTTTATCTCTATGTTCATACTTATCCCTCTTTTAGTCTATTTTGACGGGCATCTTGCAGATATGTACTGTCCACTTATTTAGGATCGGCAGTTTTTAGGCCGAGGTCTCCTCCTTTGTGCTTACTCTTGTATAAATAGCTCGCAACCGTCCAAAGAAGAAGCTCGCAAACAAACTGCATTCCTCTGATCCTTTCCTAATTAATTACAAATTACCCATGAACAAGTTTTCTACGGAGTATTTGGTTCTTCTTCCTTTATTTAATTACTTTTCCGGTTTTACATACTCCCTCAATCCCACAAAAAAGTTCCCATTTTGAATAGTATTTAGTCAAATATTTACACGCTTTGACTATAAATTGTGAGAAAGGTATATTGAATTATGGAATAAGTTTTATATAATTGGATTCATCTTAGAATCTAGTTTTGATATCTCAAATTTTTTAAACATTTCTATATTTAGATTATATTTAATTTAGAGTCAAAGTGTGCAACAGTTTGACCAATTTATGATCAAAATGATAACTTTTTTGTGGGACGGAGGTAGTATATCTTTAGAGAACAGTAATAAAGAAATTAATTTTTTTTTCTTACAGCCATCATCCAAACACGCTATATATATAAATCTCCATTTATTCAACATGCACCATAACAATTACAAAGAAGAAGCACGCAAACTCTCTTTGTTAAATACATTCTTCATTCACTCTTTTCCTAATTAATTACCACTGAACAAGCTTTCGACCAGGTTATTCTTCCTTGCTTTACTCATTTTCCCCGTCTTGGGGGTTTCCGCCGGCAATGATTGCCGCGATGATTCCGGCGCCGACGGCCAACATCGGCTGGAGGCCCTGAAGTACAAGCTCATAGCCGTTGCCTCCATTCTTTCGAGCGGGGCGGTCGGCGTCTCGATCCCGCTGGTGGCCGGGAGGAGGTTTCCGGCGTTCACGCCCGAGAGTAACCTCTTCGTCCTCGTGAAGGCGTTCGCTGCCGGCGTGATCTTGGCCACCGGGTTCGTCCACGTGCTCCCGGACTCGTTCGAGAGCTTGGGCAGCCCATGTCTGCCCGAGAAGCCGTGGGGCGATTTCCCCTTCCCCGGCCTGGTGGCCATGCTGGCGGCGATCGCCACCATGATGGTGCACTTGGCGGCCACGAGCTACTACATGAGGGCCCATGGGCATGCCCACGGTTCGCCGCCGTCACCCTCCGGCTTCCAAAACCTATATATCCAATTCCATAAACGAAAGAATCAATATTATTAAAAACTAGTTTAACATTGATATGATCAGAAAAATCAAATATACAATTTAATTAATAAAAATTGAACAAAAGAGGTTTACTTAAAATTTAATTAATGAAGTTATTGTACTCCACAAAGTTATTTTAAAATATTTCTCTTTATTATCTAATTCAGTTTAGTTCAAATAGGTGTCATTAATCAGGTTACTAGTAGAACTTATTTTTTGAGACTATTGGGCCTTCAAATCATCAATTGAGAGAGGGGGAGTATATATATAGAACCAGTGATAAGGAGAAACATTAAGCTAATAAAGCTCGTAAAATAAAGAGTATTGTACCGTGGGCATGCCCATGGGCCCTCTTGTAGTGGCTCATTGGGCCGCCAAGTCCACCATCATTGTGTCGTTCGCCGCCAGCATGGCCACGAGGCCGGGGAAGGGGAATTCGCCCCACGGCATCTAGGGCAGGCATGGATTGCCCGTGCTCTCGAACGCGTCCTGAAGCACGTGGACGAACCCGGCGGCCAAGATCACGCCGGCAGCGAACGCCTTCACGAGGACAAAGAGGTTACTCTCCGGCGTGAACACCGGAAACCTCCTCCCGGCCACCAGCGGGATCGAGATGCCGACCGCCCGCTCGAAAGAATGGAGGCAACGGCTACGAGCTTGTAGTACTTCAGGGCCTCCAACCGATGTTGGCTGTCCGCGCCGGAATCATCGCCGCAATCATTGCCGGCGAAAACCCCAGAACCGGGAAAATGAGGAAAGGAAGGAAGAAGAACCAAGTGGAAAACTTGTTCAGGGGTAATTAATTACTCCCTCCCTCCCGTGAAACATTTCCCCTTTCTTTTTTTATCCGTCCCACAAAACACTTCTCATTTCTATTAAAAAGTCACTTTTACCCCTTACTTTTTCATACTCTAACTATCACATCATACCTTTTTACTAATAATCTATCCATCAAATCATACTTTTACCCATCACATCAAAGGACATTTTTGGAAATTCAATACCAAAATACACTCCCTTAAATCCCTCCTAAAAAGCAAATGTCTCATGTTTCACGGGAGGGAGGGGGGAGTACTATATGAGAAGAAGAGTGAAGAATATACTAACAAAGAGGAATGGAGTTTGATGCATTCCCAGCTAGGAGCGAGTCCTCTATATAATAATCCTAGGTATCACGCACGTGTTGTTTTGCAAAGGATGGGCTCAACTTTAATTTCTGTCATCATTTAATTTAATGTAATGGTTGCAACCTGCAACTAGTGCACAACCTTTTTAAATGTAATTTAGGGGTATGGGAATCAGTGCACAGCCTTTTTGAATCCAAACAAGAGCAATTATGTACGGAGTTCTCTCTAATACTCCCTCCCTCCCATAAATTGTTACCCATTTTGACTAAAGTTAAAATTAAGAGAGAGATAACTTTGTGTTGACTTTCCAAAAATACCGTTGATGTGATGTGTAAAAGTAGGATGTGATTTGTAGATTATTAGGAAAAAGAAATGATGTGATAGGTAGGGTTTGAAAAAGTAAGGGGTAAAAGTGGTTTTTTAATAGAAATGGGTAAGGGATTGTGGGACAAAATCTTTTTGAAACGTGTAAATCTTTTTGGGACGGAGGGAGTATAATTCACCTTATCATTCTCTTACCAACAAAGAGCAAATGTAAGGTACCCAAAAAAGTTTATAATGTACTCCTTCCGTAACTAAATAAACTTCATCTTTTCTTTTTTTCTTTGTCCCCAAATAAATTTCTCTTTTCCCTTAAAAAACCTCTTTAACGCCTTACTTTTTCATACCATACCTATCACATCATACCTTTTTACTAATAATTTACATATCACATCTTACTTTTACACAACACATCAAGAGTATTTTTGGAAAGTCAACACCAAAATATCCCTCTCTTAATTTCCCAAAAAGTCAAATATGGAAGTTTATTTAGGGACGGAGGGAGTACATATTTCAAAAGTTTAAATTTAAGTTTTAATAGCTTATATTCATTCATAATGTTGGTATAATAAAAAAAATTCTGCATTTGATATTTTGTGTTAATATGAGTTAATCATCAGATATGAATCTTGTACGATAAGTACTATCGAAATAGAGAAGAACTTCGAGCTGAGCATCTTCGGACTCTAAGAAAGGGGAGGCAAATAGAGATGGAAATATGTAGGAATGGAAAAACTTATGCTTTCGCGAATACTCCTTCAACTTACATTAGCGTTGAATAATTGATACTTTCATTAATTTGTCGTTAATTCATACATTTCTTTTCATTTTCCATCATAAATTTCATACTGTTGAACCATATTTAATATACGTCCATTTTTTTAATTATAATAAGTTACTAATATTTTTATTGGTCCAATTAATTTTGAATAATACTACGTAATAACTAATAAATTACTCTTGCTTTTATTAGTCGTCAACTTTTCAAAACACTCACTGTCTTAAAATATTTATTAAGTTTTGATTTTTTTACGATTAATCATGATTAATATTTGATTTATAATTTCAATTAAAATGAATCTACAACAATTATGACTCAATTTTATTTAAAAAACATAGAGTTTCTCATATTATTTACCATAGAAAATGGAAAAATGATGAACTAATGATAAAATTAACCAAAAAAATTAAGCATGCAATGTTTACATGATTTGAAAGATTGTTCATAACATTTTCAAATTTAAAAGACTAATCATAAGCCATACAAAAATTTGAAAGACTAATGATGTAGTTTAACCCTAATCTTAGGAGACGTCTAATTTTATAGGGAAGCGTCAATTGAAAAATACCCCATCATATTCACTTACAACTCTGCAAGTAAAAATTTTTAAAGGTACACTTTTTTTCACATACTTGCAAGATAATGATGGCTTGGTATATTCACTAAAAAGGAAATTAGACCCATTAAACTTATGAGAAGGACAAATCAAATTTTTGGTTCAATATGGCATCTAGGTCCATGCCCCTATTAATTGTTTAAAAGAAATTTACCTAAATAGGACTAAAACATAATGACTTTCCCAATATAGGACTATATGTTTTTATTTACCAATGTAGGACCTTTGGTCATTATGAAGTAGTCATTATTCAAGTAAATATCCATCATTACTGGACATTATTCCTCCCACTAGGTCATTATTAAGTCCTATTTAGAGAATAAAAAAGTTTAAGTCCTACATTAGGAAAGTCATTATGTTTTAGTCCTATTTAGGGCAAATTTCACATTCTTTAATAATGGAGAGTGATGGGCAGCATACCTATAAATATTGCCATATTACCATCATGCATTGCTATCTTTGGGCGAGTGGATTATCCTCTTCCATTATGGCCATATGGAATGGTTTTACATTAATAAAGTAATAGTGTACTTTTCTTTTACTCCGGGTAATTTTCTTTGACGGGTGACATCATGTAAATACCTCGTATTTGGTGCATTGATTTTTTTTTGAAGGAAATTTTGGTGAATTTATATTTTCCTCTGTTCCTATATTTAAAATTACGAAGTAAAATTATACAATTTTAGAAATTATTTTATTTATAAATTGATATATCAATAAGAAATGAAAGTATATGTTAAAAAAACTACATCAAAAATTTTACTTCCTTCGTCCCATAAAATAGTTCAACTTTATTTCTTATCATACTATCCCATAAAACATTTCAATTTCTTCAAAATGGACTAGGATACCCCTTTTTAACCCTACTTTCTCACAACAAATCAATCACATCTCATATTACTTTTTTAGTTTTTAATTATTACTACCTCCGTCTCTCTCAGAGTATTTGTTCATTTTCATTTTTACACACTATCTAATACACTTCTTTAATCCATTTTATCTTGTAATTTGTATATTAAAAAATTATAGAAATTATATATTAATAATCTATATGTTAAGACAAATCAAACAAGATCACACATGATTATATTTAGACTTACACATTGAAATAATTTGATGAGTCAAAGTGCTTAGATGAACAATTTCAAAAGTCAAAAAATTTCATACTATTAATCACTATTCAAGTATTCATGATTTGAAACATGGCTTTTTACAACAAAAAAACCTTAAGGGTAAAATTGAAAAGTCAAACATAAAAAACACTTCCCTTAAAATACCAAAAAGACTAGAGGAGACATGGCGCTGCATACCCACGTCAGACCATCTTCTTGGATGGTGCGAGGTGATTGCCTCTGTACTCTAGTGAAATTAAGTCACCTAGCTAGGAAGGTAACTCCTTTATCACATACTGTGTAGGACGGATTGCTCGAACGTCATCAATAATTTTTCTTTGAATTTGGCCTCTAAAGTCTGATTTCCTTTGGATTCTTCTTTGCCGACACTCTCCATCCATAGAAATCATATCGGGTAGATTCCCAAGGGATGAGTTTACTGAAATATAAACCGGTTGACTATCCGAAGTGTACCGGTCAACTTTATGGTCAACCAAATACCCTCTTATTGTTGTTTTAGACATCCCATCCCATAAAATCAAACTTGATCGGTTGAATATTTGAACGTCTTCTTTGAATGGTTCTAAGTAGAATGGACCCATCAGTCATTATTCAAGTAAATGTCCCTCATTACTAGACATTACTCTTTCTACTAGACATTATTAAGTTCTATTTAAAAAATAAAAATATTCATATCCTATGTTGAGAAATGACTTATTTTTAGTTCTATTTAGTGCAAATATTTTTTATACAAAATGTGTGAACATAGCTAGCATTTAGAGTGTAGAGATAACATCCTTTTTAAATATGATGGTGTAAATTACTTAACCGGATAAACAATACTAGACTGGGTTTCTAACTGTTTACTGGATTCGTAATAGTGAAAGATAAAAACACTTAAAGTGCTCGGGACGACAGTAGGTGGAGATACCTATAGCCCAATTGATATTATAAATATGGGAAAATACACGGAAGTTTTTGGTCAATCGCGCACCCTTTTACAGACTATTTAGGTCTCCCATCCTGGAAAATTGGTTTTGACTGGTGGAATACACCCATCGAAATGCAGTGTAAAATAATACACAAAAACCATTTTATCATAATAAGTTTTAAGTATGACTTAAACTTTTTTTAGTATAGGATTTAAAGTTTTTTATTCCTTAAATATGACTTATTAATGTAGAATTCACCCTAAATAGGACCAAAACATACGGAGTATAAAAACGTATTAAAATAGAAGTTCCATGTTTATATTCCTAAAAAAGAATTTCACATTGTGGTAATGTGATTGCAATGTGAAACTCTACATGTGTACATTACTATACTTTTTGGTAATCTACACGACCATGTTTGGTAATGCATATATACTTTCTGGTTTTTCTTTACAATTTAATTTTATTTGTTCACACTCTTAGAGACTTAGACTAGTCACTGAGGTTATATTAATGAAGATCCCAAGGTAATGGTTTTGTTTGTAGGATTTTGGAAAATGCAATCTCGGGAGGTCAGTTATTAGGTCCACCGCTCGCAACTCTCACCTATCTTGAAGCTTTGTAAGTTAGTTTAACAATGTCCATTAATTCCTAGCTTGTTTCAATGTGTATGTGTGTGTGTGTGTATTGTTTATACATCTAATAACTCCTAAAATTGACCATTATATTTAATTTGATCTCTTTTTTTTTGTGTGGAAAATTAATGTCTTGAAAAGGGTCTTGAGCGGCGATGGTTTAACGGGACGGATTCCTCAGGAACTGTGCAAGCTAACCCACATGGATTTCCTGTATGGATTGAATTGCAACTCCTTCTTGCTCTTTTTTATTCCTTCTTTGTTGTTAATTCTCAATTAATTGGAATTTAATTGCACACTTTCTAGAGTCATCATGCTTCAAATCCAACCATGAACAACAACCGTCTCTTAATTATTCTCAATTAATTTG